TTTAATTTATTATCGTCCATGATATCACTTTAGAATAATATTAACCTGGAAATGATCAATTTCCCACTCTCTTCGTCTTTATGCCCTTTTTCATGTCAGTGAGCTTGGTGGTGTCAAGTCAAAAGACAACTTTGGCGACAAGTGGAAAGCAGAAAGCTCTAGTTTATTCCTAACAACCGTGGCTAGGGGCATAATAATTCCATGCAAAACAATGAGTTAATGTTTTGCATAAATAAATTCTCACATGTCGCGATTTAGTCATCTTACACTAGAAGGAAATTAAAGCCTTCCATTTGCCTAAATTTGCAATTGTGCTTTAGCTATTGAAAAGGCAATGTTTGGATGTTTGAATGTACCTTTTAGGCGAGAATTGGTCATTATATATAAACCTCGTGAATGAGCAGAAACCATTGGCCCCTGGGGAGATAGCTAGCTCTGTATTCTTTTTATAGGTTTAGCAAATAAAAGATACCCTTCGCCAACCACTCTGCAGAGCTGAAATAGGGATACATCAAACATACTGCAAAATTTTTGATTTATCTGAGTAATTTCAAAACCTTAAGGACTTGGTGTTGTCCTACGTCATAATATTACTTTGAATGGAAGAATTAGACACGTTCATGAGCTACCGCAAGCAATCACCTCAATTTACTTCAAAATTAGGCACATGTTAATAATTTATTAACTTGGAAAAGGTGCTCCAAGACCCTATCAATTCTAACGCCCATATATGTCAAACAAAGGACCATATATTTGCCTCACTATTATCCTTTTGAGCAGAGCCTGAACTCAATGAAGGATGATAGTATCTCCCCACAGGAAATTCACACGGTGCACTGAGCACCAACCAGCAAAGTGAATAACTGAAATTCTATTAGATTTTGTGTTGAATTAAGTTTATGGGCTATAGTGTTCTCGAAACGGGTTCATGATGGGTGCCCATTAAGCAGTTGGAATTGAATCACCATTGGCAAAATTGGTTTGGTCTAAAATAAGCTTAAGGTTCTAAGGCGGATACTTTCTTCTCTTTATCAATTAAGCCCATGTTTTTTGCCATTTAAATGGAAATTTATTAGTGTAATAATATTATAAGGAGGAGTGGATTCCTTGAATAAAACTTGGGCATTTTGTTAAAGCTTCCTCATAGCACAGGAACCATTTGATTGTATACTAGGGAAAAATAACTTATAGAAATGCTGCTTTTTATTGTAGGCATTAACCCAGAGTAGCAGACGTGATTCACATGAATGAAAGGGCGTGAATTTGATTCGTTTAAAACCAACCAATAGAAAGTGAGAACCAGTAAGATGGCAACGAATTTGCTAGAATTTGTTGGACATCAAAGCGTGTCCTATTTTTGTACCTCCAATCCATGTTGAACATATCTAACAGAGGGGCAATATGTTTCAGGATTTCGATGCATCTGAATTGGATGGAAATTGGAAAATCTTGAGTAATAAGTTCAAAGGCCAATCTAGAACAATATATTGTACATTTACACAAGATTTTGCCCCCCTCATGCCTCCTGATCAATCCAGGAAGGTGTTGTCGATGGTTTTCTTGATCTTCTTATCCTCTTCCAGAATAAAATCATTAGTGTTCTAGAAACAGCCTTCTTAGCATTCAAGATATTTTTAGCGATGCCATTAATAGAATAAGCTCTAGTGCAATTTAAAAAAAAATAAATGCTTTCCCACAGTCCCTTCTCCATGTAATCTGTAGCAATTTTGTTTGAAATTTCCAGACCCTTTTCTTTGTCTCGAACCTGATAAAAGCTATTCCTGTAATATTCGCATTATTTTAACTCACATGTACCACCGTAGAACTAACTTTTCACGTAATAAAGAGGAAGATAAAAATACCTCGATAAATGTAGCCCTTTTAAATATATGAAATGTTGTAGCCGAGGTAATTGATGTGAACCCATTTAGTCAGTCAAGGCCACTGGAGGACCAATCGAAGCGAAGCCCACTGGCGGACAAGTAAACATCACACAAGGGGCGGGGGCTGGGCGGAGTGGTGTGTGAGTAATCCACATCGGCATTGTTTCCGTTACAAACAACTCTGTTTGAACGAAAGTTGACTTGTGGACTCAGGAATAGGGCGGATACCCTTAATCGACTGATATAGGTAGGCAACACATAGGGGCGGCCTCGGATACCAGTTCCGTCTAGCACCAGGGGAGGCTTGAATGAGTGTATTAAATACCATCCATTTGAGGGAGAATCTCTCCTTCCTTCCCTTCAACAAGGCTACGATTTCCTTGCTGTGCGATTCTTTTCGGTGAAGCACATTCAGAACTAGCGTGAGGTTGAAATGTGATTCGCCCAGTCTACACCGACTTAATTGCGGTGTTCCCAGAGCATAGGTGAGTTCACAGAGGATAACGTCACCATTTTGTTGACATCTTCAGCAAATTTGCGTGTGAATCGATTGCAACTTGGTGCTCCACGGGGAATTCCTAACAGATTAGCGTGTTTTGCACAAATTTTGATGCATAGATATGAATGGGTACTGTTTAAGGTCAATGGACACAATCCATATACTGGTGGTTTTTTTAAGAAAATTAAATTTAAGAAACCGTCATTATTTTATCCCAAAACTGGACTGAGTTTGGCTTGATTGTATGCCCCATTTAACTAAGGCATAGCACGACGGATGACACCTTCACACTCCTTAATAGCCTTGCATTTTTACAACCACTACAGTCAAGTTATGAGGTGGGAATAACTACGTAAGAGAGAAGCGCCTCATCACGCGCCGCATGACGCGGGAGGCTTTTCACTAAAAATTTTACTTTTTTTCTCATGCTGTACGGCGACTGTTTAAACACGCGCTCACACAAGTGTCGTACCCTCGCTCACTGAAACGTCTGACAAAACACGACTGAACACATTCACGTACGCGCACACACCTACTGGCCTGAAGTGATTTAGTGATTAAGAAGGCTAGGAGCACACCATCGACAGAACTTTCGGAATGCGGCTTTTCTAGACCACCGTAGTAGTAGTGTCGAGCTGTATGCATGTTCGCCTTATTAAAGGTCTTCTACCTCCTCAATTGAAATGAAGAATTGAATTAGAACAACTGATTCACAAAGGTTCGGTGAGCTTAAACGAAAAATATTTAACCTACATCGACAACAACCAATAACAATTCCAGTGACTATGAGTGACAACCGCAGTCTCCAACCAATCTTCTAATTTGTAGTCTTATACCTACAGAAGGAATTCAGGCATTGCATTAGTGTTGGGCATATGTAGGACACCGGTTGACCTTGATAATGCACATAGTGTGATGTTTTGGAATTAATTACAATGGCATTTTCAAAGAGCATTTGCATTTAAGTATGTTCTTAAGTATGCAAAAAGTGGCACTCAAAAGAGTGTCTAAAACTGAATTTATTCCAAATTACTACTGATATTAATGAATAAGTTGTGCCATAATCAAATTGAGTTGGTCAAATTAGAATCTGAAGAGAAGATTAATTGCCTAGAATGTCTATGTGAAAATAACAAGGAAGCGGAATTTCAAAGGTGATGTACCACCCTAAAGTAATCCAGATGGATGCGTAAGTTGTGGCTTCCCGATTAAAAGGTCCACCAGAAGGATGCCAACAGAGTTGGGGAGCACCTAGTTCCTAAGGCCATATTCTGGTTGGAAGCCTTCGTTCCGATTTGGTATTCGACAAAAGATGTAAAAGATAGTTGGGACCGGAATTCGCGATTTTTTTACTGTGACGCAAATCCGTAATTTCATTCTGTTCGTTTCTGTCGTGTGGGTATATCGAGTGCATCGAAGTGCTTTAAAATAACTGATAGAAACAAGAAAGTCAAAGCATGCTTGGATTTGTTTCGACGCGTCGAGATCTACACCAATTGCCCGTGCTTTTGGACTTACTTCACGGCTCATAGTATCGCCAAGAGTAAATGAAGCAGATTTTATGAAGAGTAATTCGTGATTTCAAAGCATAAACAATTAACAACTAGAATAAACATATCTAAACCAAAAGTACGTGTGAAACAATGAATAGTTTATTTTTGTAAGCTAGACGGATCGCATTAGCGGAAGTACATCCACCGGAAATCGGGTCGCACACTTGGTAAGTTCAAAATTTCAACAATTTACAAAAAAAAACACCTGAGCACTTATTGGTTTTCGTGTTAGAGGAGAGCCGAAATGAAAGCATCACCAGTTCCACAAAATGACCGTTCCTCCAGTGAACCCACACTCCCGTAAACTTTAACTACCAACAACCTCCGGTAGTGACGCTGGACCCTAATTAAAACTCACCGCCTTGAAGTACCCACACTATTTCACAACCACAAGTGTAAAGTCACCCCAGCACCATCTCTGATTCTTTTTTCTACAGCACTCAAATTACCTGGCATCCTCGAGAAGACAGAGGGACAATCAGAAACACACGAGCTTGGCGGTTGCACTAACATACAGTAAAACTGGACTAGCGGAGCGTCTGACACGTAATTTTCAAACAAATTTGATATATCCGACTAACAACTTCAAGCCAAAATGGAAAATTACAAATAAAAGGCACTTTGATAGTAATTACAGACATGACATCCGAAAGGGAACTTAACAAACACCGAAGTTCTTTATACGAAACTCAATCAGACGAAAAAAGGAGACTTTTGAGTTGAAAAAAATCCTCTAAAGGGTCAATAAATACAATGTGTATGCAATACATGTGTACAGATGAGCGCACAGGCGTCTACGTGTGCGCGTGAGTGCAGTTGTTTATAAAAAAAGTCGAAGGAAAAAAGCAACTCTAACGCAAAACGAGTGATCCGTACGTGGCGTAACACCACAAGAAGCCGAAAGGAGAAGCCACAGACGAACAATGGAGCCAGCGCCTGCTACGTAATGAGTAGTATCCATATGTAAATGCTGTTCTTCACTGCTGAGTAACGGGAGTAGAAGAAAGGGGCGATATGAGTGGGACACAGCCTGATAATGAATGCTGGTACTAACATGCGGGAGTACTATGACAACTTTGCTGAATTTCCTGTTTCTTCGTGGTCATCGTTTCTACCATCTTCGTTATTGCGGTTATTAATGTCCCCACTGACGTTGATGCGCACAAGTATCAACTCGCCTTCACTAGTCGTCTGTATGCGCCATTGCGAAGGATCTAGTGGCGTTCCAGTGCTGTCAACAAGGTTCTGAAGCAAATGGTTTTGCGCTGACGTCAATTCATCCCTGGGTAAAAGGTAGCAAGAACAGTAGAGATCCAAACCCTTCAGCGACTATTAACAATACACAGGAGGGTTTGACCAACATACCACTTTTGTTGACGTCGTCTTCGAGTGCAGATAATACGCCTGGTGAGATCAGCATGCTCCAGACGAAGGCGGTCAAGCTGGTTCGCCAGACTGTCACGAGCTGCCGATTTGACACGGCGACAACGCTCTGCCGCCTGCCGATTCGTCGCTCGGCGACGCGCATCCAGCATTGCGGTTATCTGAGCGTGGAAGAGAAGCACGGTTAATTACTCAACAAGCGTCTTGCGGAAATCTTGATGTAATGGGGGTGAGAATACACAAACGAGGTCATGAAAAAGTGAGGTCAGATTTTCAAGGAAAGATGGCCTTTTCCATTTCAAATAATTTGCAGCCAGTGTTCTAAAAATGTGTATCGTGCCAAGTGCTAAGAGCACCTAAATGTTGGGGTGTAAATACAGCACGTAAATTAATCACGTTTGGATGAAAAATATTCAGGGACCGTTGGTAATTTGAAACGATTCAAAATACCCAGTTGTATAACAAGGAGAAAATTGAACAAATTCGATCAGTTAAGCAATTCTCCGTGTAAATCATCTCCTAAATAGGACCATGAAAGGCCTGACTACTATGATGCTGCGATCCCCTGAAAACTCAGCAAACAGCAGTAATTCAATTCATGGTATTTGCTCATCAGATTAGCATTATGGTGTAAAAGGCGACATAAGGAACAAACCACTTGGAGAAGACCAATTTACCTGATCAAAAGTGAGTCCGGGTTTTGATTTAATCTCTCGAAAGCGCTCATTAGAGCTGTAGGCCACCTCCTCATAAGAGAAGGGCACAGCAAGACGTTTGAGAATGTTAATGTCACGAATATTGCGATCGCAAAAGGAAGATCGTGGAGTACTGCCAGGGACGGAGGGAGAGGTTACGATCCTGGAGAACTTAATTTCACCTTCCTCCTCCCACCGCTCGTACCCGTCCTGTTCTCCTTCATCCCCTTCACTCTGATCCACTTCTTCGTCCCACCCCTCCTCTTCCTTCTTCCGCCAGCTAGATGTCTGCGACACCCGAGGGCAGAACTCCGTGTCTGAGATGTGACCCAGATCCTCTGAGGAATTAGAACCACGGGGGCCAGGGATGCAAAGGTGACGCGGAGTGTCGAATCGAGGCCAAACGAATGTCTCATTCTCTGTCATATTACGTCGTGCCTGATTTTGAAGCTGATGAAAGCGGTCTTGGCTAAAGTGAAGGTGATGTCGGGGCTGAGGAGTTTGACGAACGTTGGAGAGAGATTTAAGAACCCCATTATGCGACAGAGAGGAAGGCAAGGGTGATAAAGCGGACCTTGTCAGTGTAGCAGCATCCGTGAGGGGACCCACGAAAATAGGGACACGAGAACTTGAGGGGGAAGCTTGTGTGACGAACAGCGTCGATGGAGGACTCCCCAATTCTGTGTTGCGCTGGAGCGATCTGACCACAGAATTGGAAGGCTAGAACAAGTAGAACCCACGACATAGATACGTAGGAAAGGATGTCCACTTTATAAAAAAAACATACAGGAGGACTTAAGGCGAAGTATTCTGAGGGTGCGCTAGTACGACTAGTGATTGAACAGGTACTTTCGAAAGGTCCCAGAACCTTTTTTGACACCGGAAGTTTTCGAGGCGTGAAATCAGTCATATTTTCTGAGGACTCTGTATCGAAAGTGACTTCCTCAACAGAGCTGGTTTGTTGAGGAGTAAGCAGCAAGTCATCCCGTTCTGGTTTGACTGACACAACCAGATGAGGCGTTAAATCGACTTCAACTGGCCCAGGCTTCACGCCTGCACCACTGGTGGAAGTAGTTGGAGTAAGAAAGGTTTGACAAGCACCCGACTAAATGCGAAAAAATCAGAAAAATACGAGCACAGGCCTACCTCCCGATCACGGTTTTGAGCGTTGGGTTGGAAAACCGAAATTGGCAAATGATTCGCCTGAAAGAGGAAGTTCAGTTCATCGATTTGACCCTCCTCAGGATCATCGAAACCAATTTTCTGAAGGTAAATCAAGTAGTCCTAAAAAGAAGGTTCAAAGAATGAAGCGAGGCTTACATCAATGCAAAGGTTTTCGTTAGAACGACAAGCTGCTGCTCCGAGAACTGAACCTTGGTCCGGATACTGAAAAACAGTAGCTTGGAAAAGTTTAGGAAGCCAAAAATCACTCACACCGTCTGAACTACTGGCCTAGAATCATGACTTAGGTAGATACTAATATATAACCATCGATAATCTGTAAAATATGCTGATAAGTCTAACGTCCTGAAAGGTAGAGACAGCCTAGCCCTTCTGCATGATAGCCCATGTCAACAGAAATCCGATTAACAGGGATGGGACCCGCCCTTTTACGTATAACCCAGACTTAATTATAAATAACAACATTTGGTAAAATATTCGTACCAGTTCTGTCAGCAAAACCCTCACTTGAAAGCTATGTGGGGGAGCAACTGCTATCCTTTTAAGGGGTAGTAAGCATAGGAAAGATAGCTTGGCGCAGTAAAGACGGATTAATGATTGGAGTAAGTGTATGCTGAAGTCTGTAGAGAAAATCACGGCCTCTCTTGTTATCAAAAACGAGAGAAAGCTTTTAATAGGAGGTGACGACTTTTCATTCATACTTGGTAGATGCACATTTTATAAGAACACAAAACATGTGGGTGACACGTCAAAAGCCCCAACGCCACAACGGTAACCGCTCAACGACTCGAAGATCAATGGGGAGGTCGAACAAGGCTCCACCAAAGTGAGGTGTTAAAACAAATGTTTAAAATAGAATAATTATTAAAAATCTTCACAAAAAAGTAACAGCAATCACAACTGTTGTCAAAAGCATTGCAGTTGCTTCAGCCACAAGCACAAATTCAAAACAGGTGCTACTCATTTTTAAAATAAGCTTGTAGCAGGTTGTAGACTCAGAATTTGGTTCTATTAGATTTGTGAAAACACGCATAAAAGCATTTAAAAAAGTTGTTTTATGCAACTTTTTAAACTTTTGCGTTGCTTTTGTTGTATCGATTAGGGCGAAGAAATGTTAATGAGAAAGCGGTAGAGATATAATCAATAAACCAACTTTGCTTCCTACTTTTCTAAAATTATATGCAGTACTCCGGTTGTTCAAACCTGAGATCTGACATCGGACTACTCCGTGTCTTAGCCATCATGACCTAGCCCGGTAGGCTGGCCTCTGGGCCATGCCAGTATTCCCATCGCTTCCAGTACGTTAAATATGTATGTAATATGATGGTGGTTTATCTCTCGGTACTGGTAAGGCGCCACTTTTAAACTTCTCAATTTCCTTTTTTTGTGCCTTGCTGGATGGTCTGGCCTTCGGGCCATGCCAGTAGCCCAAACACCTGCTCCGTGCTGAATATATATTCTGCCCGAGTATCGTGTCTTCTTTCGCCTTCAGGGAGGTCTTGGAACGCTACCTGTATGCATTGTTTGGCAACTGTGTCGTCTTGCACCTTCGCGGAAGTCTCGAATCGCTACATATTTTAGGGCATTTTGCACATTTGCTATTTGCGATATATTAAAGCCATTCGGCTTCAGTGTGTCTAAGAATAATGCAATTTATGGACACCATGACCACTGATGTAAATAGGAAGGCTCATTGGAAGCCGCATCTCAAAGCTTGAGCGAATACTTTTTATAGAATGGATTGTGGGATGAATACAGATAATAGTGAACCAACTATGAATGTTTATGACTGAGTGCAAATTGTTTGATACTTATGTAGGGCGAGACTCGCAAACCTTCTCTTCCCTGGTTCTTGAACTCATAGAATATTCGGGCTGATTCGACTTCGACACTTTTGTTCGGATAAGAAGATGGGGGAAACATATACAAGTTTGGGGGGTGTGGACGCGAAAACTCTCTCCTGGTTACTCGACGTTGACGCCCCAGTCATGAGGTACGACTCCTATATTCACTTCCTCCCTGAAAAGAAACATTAAAAAAATATTATATTTATTAATTAGAATGGACTTTACCTAATAACATTTAGGTGAGATAGGAACGGTCCCTAAGATTAATCATACAACTTTGTAAGATTGAAAAGGCAGAGGTGCAAAGTACAAGGGATGACAACTTTTAAAATGGTCAAGTTATATATATATATATATATATGCACATAGTAGAACATTAAAACGTGAAATTCTTTTTAATTATTGCACACGATGGAGCCTACCTTGGCTGACGTAGTACATTCAAACTTTCAGTGCTTCAAATTATTCGCCTTTATTTTTATGGTAAACAAAATGCCTCAAGAGCTTTAATTGCCATTCATAAATTTGATGAGTAAATGTCGAGGCGCCTGGTTCAAATTATGCTGCTAATTTTCCTCGTGACAGTTTTCCGCCGCAGGTTGTTTTCTCATGGATAGTCATGTGACGTGCGTTCACCATTGAGTTCCCGTTGTGCTTACTTTAAAGGCACCATATTTTAACTAATGTTACTTTTTTATTAACCCTGACGTCGTGGTAGACACTTTTCCTGTTGCTAATTCCGAATGCTGCAAGCATAGAGCGAATTTGTTCTGTAAATGCATCAGTTTTACCGACATTTTATGTCAAAATGCTCAACATAATTTGACTTTGTACCCCGATGGTTGGTTGCATTATGGCTGTTCCCGTCTTCCCCATCGTAGTAGGTGTACATCTTGCAATGGGATGGTAGTTGCTGCAATACCTCCACTGAATTACTTACTTGACTATTTCAAGTCTTAAAAAGTGTTTCAATGAAGGTATTTTTATTGCATTCATGAGTGGTTTCTTTCATAGCTGACCCATGTTTTGAATGCCAAAACCTAGTGCGGTTTCAAAGTTTTGGGGTTTATTTGCAAACCCCGTATTGTCGGTTGTGCTTGTATTTGTGGACACCTGCTGAGTTGCGGTCTCTTCAGTGGACGAGTCATGCCACAAAGTCATTAACTTTTTTTGTTTCGATTTCCCTGCGAACAACTTTTTTCCGTGCTTTAAAATGTGTTTTATTTACAGAAGAGGCGACGAGAAAATAAATGGAAAGGTACTGAACGATGAAGTCATCTGCTGCCCTAGGTGTCCATGTGTCATTTTCCGTGAGAAGACTGCGTTTTCCACTAATGAGGAAGTGAGTTGTGCGTTAAAATCTAACGATTTTTTGGCTTTCACCATTAAGTAGCATTCTGGTAGTCCTACTTTGCGTACTTGTATCCTCTTAAGTAGCAAGTGCCATATTTCCGGGCTTTACTGAGCCACTGAAGAGTGTGCTATTTTTAAGTCCCTAAATATGAATGAGTTATTAAAAATGCTCTTTCCGTTTGATAACTGCTGTGTAGTTCGCAGATTTTAACATCTGGTTCAAACCTGCGTTGCTAACTTTGCAGAAGGTAAAGACATCCATCGGGTAGCGTTTACACAGCATAATTTGTACTCGTCTGGCAAGTGGAAATTATCAGTCTGGGTGTATTCACAAGGAACGCTGGTCTGCAGAATTTTCGAACCCCTTCACTATTTTTCTTCGACTGCTTTTTTACCGCTACGCGGCCACTTCAGATTTCCAGTTGTTCTGATTGCGCCGCCTATACACGCCCAAAAATGATGGCGAAAGAGAAAGAGGACTAGAGAAAAGGCAAATCAATGGATTACTAGCCACTTGTGCGCGATTTTCCCTTTAATGTGCATTTTTCCTGCAATTGCTGTCTGTATTACTCGCGTAAGACAACCATAGTTATTTTTATTGCCTTATGCCATGGTTACTAGATGAAATTAGGATGAATTTCAGCACATTTGGCAATGCGAAATAGTCGAGATCCGCTGATATTTTGGATCATGTCATGAAGTAAATTAAGACTGAGGAACACTTATTAAAAGCAATCAGTAAGGTTAGTCGTGGATAGTAATAAGCTTTATGCAAACTAATCGTTTCAATGTCTTTGCATTTCATGCTTGGTTATCATTGGCCACAGAAAACCCTTACCAAATTTTATGTAATTGTGTCTATTAGTTGGCAAAGGGCTCTGCTACTCCCGCTGCAAAATTGTCTGCTCTCTCGAAGTACTGTATGTAAATCCAGATTTTTACAACCGCAGTTTATGAAGATGGAGGTATCAAATTTACACTAGGTGTTGCATTCTAGAATTCTATAATCCTAGGGTGGCGGGGCACAAGTCTAGCTTAACTTATTAATGCACAGAGGGTCTGTTAGTGCACCCGATGATTTCCTCTTACCTCCGTCTAGTTACAAGGAATCCCATCCACCCATCCTTTTTTTTTCAATGCGGTGAAGCTTTTGCTTTTAGGGGAATCGGGAGTGATGCGAAGTTAAAAGGCAATTGCTGCTGATAGCAACAAAAAAAATCGCAAGCGCTGAAAGGGAAGCTTCTTTTTTGTCCTTTTGTACTTGTTACCGAGATGTACAACAAATAGCAGCCCCTACTACTACTTTGATTGTGTTCCACCTGACGCATAAATTTCCAGATATTCACTTTAGGGGTAAAAATGCTTCAAAATCCATTGGGAAATAAAGGCGCTTTTCCCAATTGCATCCACTCGAAGTCCAACATTAAAAGTTCTAGCAACTGGGGGCCTTTGCTTGTCACTTCGGACTGCAACTGTTTTTAAAAAATAAGTTGAAAATAGCTATTTCATTGAAATTTGCGCTTAATTTTGACTGTGCGTTTTTTATCTCGTTCTGAAATTAATTTCTCAAGTAATTTAATTTCACTTTTTCCTATGTGTAGCACTTTGCTTTACTGTATAGCGCGATATCAACGTTTTTCTGAGATTTCAAATTTTGCTTTGAGAAGACGTTTATAGTGAAGTTATGCTTCAATTGTACGCTAAATTTTGCTTTTGCTTATCCAAAAAGTGCAGTGTATTGTGTTCCAACTATGTTTCAATGGGTTTTTTGGGATGTTTTTGGATACAGAAGTATTGAAAAAACTGACTGTGATATCTATCCAAACTGATGAATTCTAATTTTAAAGTACCTGGAAGCCGTTAGGTGCCGATTTCGCTCAAAATTTTCCATTGAATAGGTTTCAATGAAAACGAGAAGTCTATGCACCCAATCACCCATAGTATTCAACTATGTAAGCCTGTTTGAATCTTGCAAAATAAAGTTGAAGGTAAGCACTGAAAGGTTGACTTGACGGGAAATTAGTGATCTAAGGTTTGACAAATCGTCCTTTATTTTGTCCCAAAGCCCAAAATTTTACTAATCGCGAGGACTATCGGTACATACCTTGATCTTGTTTTAGAGATAATATTCAGCTGACTTTAAGTTGTTTTTGAGTAGCATCAGCCGAACAGTTTGTTTCTTTTTCATCGTGGAGCATTTAATTGCTGCAGTATGATAGCTCACGGTGGAGTAATTGTTTGTGTCCTCAGATTTTTCTCTTTTAAGTTGTGAGAAGGTGGGTATGTCTCAGTTTATATCTTTAGACATTTAAATCCACATTTACAGTGGCGGCTGCGAATTGTGGGCTGCCGATTTGATTAAAAGCAGAAATATAGTTTCAATACATAAACGAGGCATTCCGCTATTCTGGTTGGAAGGTTTCAAGGCCATGGCTGGCAGGAGAGATAAGACCTCTAGTAGCTGACCATTAACCAAAGAGAATTCGATTTCTTAACCATGTCTATCTTAATTTTTACAAGGTGCTGCTGCTCTTTTGAGAAATGCGAGAGAATGTGGAATCAGAACCTGGTTCTCTTACTCTTGAACTTAATCATGCCTGTTTGGCTGATTTCCAAATTTTTTGTACCAGCTCCAGAGGTGAAGGGGGGAGAAGACGAATTGCATATTTTTCTGTCGATCACCACGCTCGTATTGGTAGTTTTATCGGTTCCATCTGCGTCTTTAAGGTACGTAATTGCAGGCTTGGCAATCTTTTTTTTAAGTCGACCTGCAGCTCACCAAATTCGGTAAATGACATGCCCTTGCCACACGAGGATAACTTTTGGAGCTGCTTTTGCCATTTCCTCGTCATCCTTCGCCAATGAAAGCATACTACAGACGGTATTCTACTCTGATTTTCGTTTAGGTGATATTTAATGTTGTAGTGTCTAACCCTTTGGGGATGGGATCGTCACCGATAATATTTTTGGCCATTTACTGGAGTGAGGAATTGCGACGATAGACGCTGATTGCGCCAGTTTTTCTTATTGCAAGCAAAAGAGCTAAATAAACTACGGTTAAATTGCTGCTTGACCCATTGGCGCTTTGAAATGGACTCCATAATCCCCATTATTTGTAGACCATAATGCCCTTAATGGAAGACATTAATGCGCCCTCAATACCCTGTTGTTAGTCGGCGTAATGATGCTCCAAGAATGAAAATCTGAAGAGTTCAACTTGGTGATCCTTGGCGACCAAATGTGTGAGGTAGCCCAATTCCAAAACATTTTTGGCCGCGGGTGGTTGTTGGAGGCTGTTTGCTATGCATCCCTTTGGAATGAGGATTTTACAACCATCTTTAGCGCATGGACATTGACTGTTGTAGTATCGTTGTGTCCAAGTTTGGGTTTTTGATTGCAGGAACATTGACTTTAAAAAGGAAGTTTTTTTGAAGTTCCCATACTTCCTCTGCTTGCAGAATGCAGTGTCGATATTTTTCTAGGTTTAAAATGAATCCTACGAAATAGCGACACAGCCCGATTTTTAACAATAGTTAAATGCGAGAACCATTTCTGTTTTTTAATTCCACGGTTGTCAAATTGTTATTCATACATTAAGTGATTAAGGACTCTTTAAATTTCTAAAGCTGAATGGATACCATAAATGCGTAGATGGTAGGTCATGTCTTGTTTTCACCCTCTTCATAAAAATTGGCTAATCCCAATGTTATCAGCAATTAGAATTTCTAATTTGGGAGCTTATTTATGCTTGCATTGTTTTGGACACGAGGGATACGGTGGCATTTGAGTCAAAATTACTTGGATTGATAGATAAGGCAAAGTGAATAACATTATTTTACCGTCTGCGCCGGATCCAACTAATTATATTTTGGGGCTGAAAACAAAATTTAATTGTAGGATACGTAAATATAATTGTGCGACCCACTTTGTTCAAATCTACTTGAGAAGTTTGCCATTGCCTTTTGTTTTCAGATTTTAATTTGAAAATACGGCCAAGATATTGCCGCAAACTGGTCCCTTAAAGGAAGTGCAGATTGGATGTGTTCCTTAAGGCACTCCATATGACTTAAGACTGATAATTTTTTAATACAGTACCAATGTGTAGGTTGCAATGCGTCGTAGTACAACCCATGGTTAATCTTAAAAGTGCTGGTAAATGAGGTGTAACACGACTTCTCGTAACCTATAGGCTGTAAAATTGGTATGCACGCTTTCAAACGGTTCGTCTAAAATGCACTGAATTCAAACAGGAGTTGTCTGAGGACATCAACTATTCCCTAGGCGCAGAAAACGGGGTCTATTGCTTTTTCCTCAGTTTAACACGTGGCTGGGAATGGCAGTGCTTGAAAGTGTATCTTCATATTACAATCGGATTTTTTGCAACTACGATCTTATTTTTAAGTTACATAGATTATGATTCGAGAGATAGTATGTGGTACACTGCTTCCTTTTCAAAAGGTTTGTATAATTTGAAATATTTGCACTCTGAAGCTCGATTAGGGAGCTTATTTACGACTCCACTAAGATGAGTATTTCGTCTAAATTCAGCAGTTTGTTGATTCCGATGGCGAAATCAATTAAAGTGTTAGCAACTTTTGCTTAACACCCTGATATGCAAAAGAAGTTTAAAAGGCAAGAGTTGGCTTAGCGCAAAGTGTAGCGCTCGGCGTTATCATTACTGCAGCGCTCTTATGCCGATGTTCTTTTCATCCCTCTTTTTAAATCCTGGTGGGATTCCATGCCTATTTTATTCCCTTTCTACTCTGATCGCTATGGTCCGTGGTAAGTCGAACTGGCGATTCATGCAGAATCGGATTAGCAGAATGCGAGGCTATTCTAACTACAACTATTATTGTCAGCATCGTTAAACGATGAAACATTGTTGTTTATCATTTAATTATCCGTCTCAGGAGAAAGTGACAGGTCCCCAATATTAAATTCTAACCATTTTTCACGCGTCGACTCCCTAAATGTAATACTACAATAGCACTTATAATACGTTCTATGGTCACATGACATGCATTCAAAATGAGCATTTTCTTAGCGGTGGGAGGAGACAATCTATGAAAGCGATGTTTTTTGTCTTAACCACTTTCTTTCTTCCTGAATCGTGCCAGTACTTTGTTACTAAACAAACCTTTTATGTCTACTTATATTTTCTTACGAAATCTCGGACGAATTGTAGATGCCTTTTTTACTCCCTTTTTTTTGTTCCGTCGTGGGAACTGATGCATCAGCGCAGACAACTGGAAATACCAAATATCAACTTTATCAAGGCGGTGGTAAAAACTGTTTTGGATGTATTTCCTCGGAAGACAAAGATAAGCTGTTTATTCTCATTTCTGCTCTTGGATCCCACCATCCTCCTATCTGAAGAATAAACAAGAGCGATCTAGACCCTAATATTTAGGCTGACTTTAACCATGGCGTTTTTTTCAGATTCTTGTATAATGAAACCTATTTCTTATTAAGTGGCATGAGGATTTTGACAATCTTCTCCGTGGTATTTGGCGGTGCTCTAAACAATTTATGACTGATCCAGCTTTTGTGCTCTCAGGATTCTATGCTTACTTTTCTCCTAGTTTTTTTTTTAAATTTTATAGGACTACAAATGCCAAAGGAAACCCTTGATTAGTAGTTACTAGCCAATCTTATTAGGAGTGTTAGCTATCTGAACGGAGTCACATCAGGGACAGATGTTTTTACAGGGTGTAAGCATCCTTATCACATATCTGTTCTTGACAAAACAGCTACTATTACCAGGTGTCATCGTTAAGAACAACATTTTCTGCACCTTTACATTAGAGGGAGGAGAGGGCAATCAGCTTCTGAGTTGCCTCATAGTTGAACCGCAAATGAAAGGAATCGCGCAATATATAAGGTACTTCATTTATCCGTCAGTGTATTTTCACATAATTGTCCTTTGCAGACTTATTCGTGAGTCATGACTTTTAACCACTATGAGAAGGTGAAAGAGTTAAGGTTTTAGCTAAGAAATCTAAATTTAGTGTTATGGAGCTAATGTTTTCATGAGCTTTTGAAGATAACGAATCTGGATGCCTTTTGTCAGCGTATATTGACACTGAACTGAAAAGTGGTTTTTGTTCTGTGGGTACGAAATGTTGACCGTTGTTCTAGGGCGAAGCTATTTAGTATCAGTCTCTTCGTAGAAATGCTTGTAGTGGAGAAAAAAGAAAATATGCATAATATTTGGTAACTTTTTGAAATGTCGTCTTGATTTTATCCCCCTTTGTTTCTTTTGCCAGGTTCCCGTACTTTTGTTTATCGTCTACTTTTTTTCGGAAGTAGTATAAGCAATTGTTTTTGTGAGTAATTGAGAATAATTTGATGTAAATCGTCGTTACTGCTCTTGATACAAATATTGAGAAAAAGTATTGCTGTTAAATGTTGATACGGTTTTGATTTGGCAACTGCTCTTAAATTTAGTTGTTCGCAATAGTTAATTTCCTCCTTTTACAGCCACCTGATTCATTTGACTGCAGACCTCGGGTGATTCTTCAAAATAGACAGAAAATGTTAAGGATATTTCACAAATCAAATTTCAGAGTTGCTTCTATAGACGTGGTAGGTTGCAGGAGTTTGAAAAACACCTTCTATTTAAGTACACAGAGTAAGTCTTTTACGAATGGCTTGGTCCTGTTAGCTGAAATCCGTCTATCTATATTCTTGACTTTCAAATGCTTCTAGTGCGTAATTGAATGTAGTCACAACTCGTTTAGGCTAAAGCTCTCATTCATCGCTAAATTAATGACCGAACCATTAAGTAGGTAAGGTTTTGATGTCCACTCATCTTCCTGGCCCTGTCTACTGATCTGATCGAAACCCGACAACGTGATAGTTTCATTTCGTGGTCATTCTACTTATTACAAATGTACAAACTGGTAAAACTAACGAATTTGTCTCTCATGCCTACCTGTTCATCCCGTCAGCACATAAATCAAAGGTGTATGGAATTCATTTTACCCTTTCTCACCATCTGTATTTGTTTTTTTTCCCAAAGTCTTCTAGCTTACTTTTTACAGTCACTTCCATAATTTAAAATTGCGGACAAAAAGTGCATGAAATTGGCTGTTTATGCTTGCGAGTGGTTTGAAAAAAAATAACTTCAGTTTGTGAAGCTGGCTTTCCTGGTAAGGGGATCTACCTTTTTCTCTTTGGATAACAATTGAGCCACCTCTTCTGAGACTAGGGTACTGCAAGAATGTTGTTCCTTTTGAACAACATGTCATTCGGTAGGATTAGTAGGTAATTTTAGTTTTACAAGTGGATGATATAAACGGATGTTACTATGGCGATACTACACGCAGCAGCAAGTGGCGAGTCTGCCCTTGGTAGCATCTGGTCCACGTATAGTGCACCAGCTCAAACATCGTCGATTAAGACAATAGATAGCGGTGGTAGTACACTTATGCATTATCATATGATAGTGAGGTTCCCTGTAAATGAATACGTAAAACTCTAACCCGCAAGCATTTGCGGAAGGCTCCAAGCACTATTTGCACGGTGATGGGACAGCCACTCGGCAGTGGGGCTGTTGAATGGTACGAGCGCTTTAATGGTGCCCGTGCATGTGCTAGTGACGAGCTTGGCGATGGTCAATCTCAGCCCACAGCCTTGGCAGCCATTCCTATGGACATCCAACCAGCGCTTGTAATGCTTTATCCTTACGATTCCTACCTCTCTTCAGCAGACTGCAGATTTGCTAATCCCACTTTTGTAAAATATCTTACCTTATAAGCAGAGGACCAGGCGTGGCCACCACCGTTTTATTTTCCAAGTATCTATTTCACGTAATTCTGTGATGCCATAAAAAGGTGATAGTTATCACTTAGTGAAATGTCATCAAAGGAGTACGGAGGGTGGCGATTAGGTATTACCTCCCTCCCTCCCTTCCTCCCTCCCTCCCATGCTAAAGTACATATATCCTCACGGTAAGTTTTTGCGGTGACATAAGGTCTTACGTTGTTTGATAATACTGTGACTTACCTCCCACTGATTGACTACCTCCAATAGTTCCCGAGGGAATTTTTTTATTACACGCCTTCAGATAGATGGATTTAGACCGTATGTTTCTTTTGGTATTCATCAGGAAAATACCTGGTGAATCATTACGTCTCTGACTCACCACACGTATGCAAGCGCACAGTGTGGATAGTCCTGTGGCGATGGGGTGGTGCGTGCCCCAGAAGTGTGGGATGGGTGGTAGGAATTGGTTCATTTGGGAATAACTACTGATGTATTTATTTGCCTAGCCAACCAGTCAGGCAATCAATCAGTGCGCAAAAGATCCTCTCCAACAGCATGTTTTTATGCAAGAAATGATGGACATCAAATTAATCCTTGTGACTTGCTGTCATCTGTTAATGCATGTCATGTGGTTGGGATCAATTCCTTTGATATGAGGGCAGATGTATTGTTTCGTCATCAGTTGTATTAAAAGTAGTTTTGCTGAAAGTTGCTAGCGTCGCATTAAATTATTAAAATTAATGGCGGTATGAAATTCCTAAGTTTTTTTTGTTATGTATAGGAGGGGGGCTATCTGATGCATTTTGGGTGATTTATCACCAAATTTACGCTGTTTGAATCAACTTCGGGTGATACTTTCGGCTACTGCACCACATATTCAACGAGAACCCAGTTAAACCCGTCAAGCAGAATACCTGCAATCCTCTCTACCAGATTCAACCGAAATTCGCTGATATGAGGGTTAAAAATAAGAGCGAATCGAAGGATACTGTACCAATAGGCTGATGCATTTCATCTATGCTTCATAATACGTGCATCCGCTTTACAAATTCCTACACTGCGAGTACCTCTTGCTTCAGGTTTCGTCCATGTTAATGCATAAACAGTGGATGCTGACTAGCAGGAAAATTTGAATACTTCAAGACTTTCTTGTAGATGATAGCTTTGCGTTGCATTTTTGCTGTGGAAGTAAACGATGTCAGAATTGGGGATTCTTGCTCGACTTTTAGGTTCCATCCGCTCTCTAATAAACAATTTTTAAATGGAACGATCATCATTTACTCGTTGTGAAAACCCCAACACGGGACCTTTGAATTGTTGAGCGGTACTTGCTGCCTCATACACCACTTCAATTCAGTAGCTTTAACAGTTTTACAGGACAGCATCTTCATTTTTTTGGTTCCCTTTTATGAATCTATCGGAGGAATTAAAAACTATTAGTGTTAATCTTCGCTGTCGTTAACTATTAGTACCCTCGTGTTTACTGGGTTGGTGTTAATGTCTTTTTAGTTCGTCTAAAACTTTACGGGGAGCTCTAATTTTGGACATAAATTTTTTACAAATGTATTCCGAAGGTCTGTTAACAAAAATAACTTCGAACGAAATTCCGTGTCACCAAAATTATGTCCATGCAATTAGACGCCCATTATGATATTATTTCGTTAAATCTTATACTTTTTCAAAAATGTGGTGTAGGGGTAAGACGACTAATTACTGCTTACAGCAGTTTCACTCATTTATGCTATTATTGCCAGTGAAGTTTGAAACGGGAATGAAATAAGTACATCCCATGGCATTGGTATCAGGGATACATAAAGTGTAGTTATCTTCTTTCATTCCTCGTTTCTGCATCATTGTATTCGTTTCGGGTGAATAAACTCAAAGAACGTCTAATGCGGGTCCTCTTATTTCTATGAAATCTAAATTGCGGTTAAGAAATGCGAAGGCAATATTGTTCAGTTTTCTATCATTGTTTTCAAATCATTGATGTTTTCCTAATCGAAGTCACATTCAAAGTAGGCCTTCCAAACATTCTTTTGTATTGCCCTGGTTACTTTATTGGAGAAGTGTCAAGAATACACAAGGTGGATTATTTTCCTGTTTTTTCCCTTCTTCATTGTCGCCTTTGAATCGTCAGTATCCATTTTCTTGGCGGTAAAATCCGAATGTCTTCCGCGAAATCCTAACTATTTGGATCAAGCAGTATCAGGAATTTTTCTTGCCTTTTTAGTTCTCCCTTCCCATCATCGCCAAGAAGTCGGAGCTTCAACAACACAGCGGTTCATTTCCTCAAAAAACGGAGTCCCACTTCTGGACGGTGGAACGGATGACGGACTTTGAGAATGTCGGCTTTTGCAACACTGTAGAGGGCATTAAGTACCTCATTTGCGCAGACTGTGAAATCGGTCCACTGGGCTACCACGACACCCACTCGGCGGCTGGCGGTCAACCGCTCTTCCACATCGCTGTCTCTCGTGTCCGGACCCGCGACACTGACCCATTACCCGGCTAGGCACTTATCGTGATTAATAAGAACGCTGATGATTTAGTTGTTTTGTCTCTTTTCGGTCGGAGTTCTGTCACTGTTTGGGAAATCAGAATTAATAACGATGTTCATGTCGTTTCTAACTCAAATCATCAGTAAATATGCCGCTGCCGAATTCGAGTTGTTTGGGCCTTAGTAGGCGACTGATAAAAACCCACTTCTGCGATCTAAATTGTTGAGGGAAGGCTGAGTTGTATCCACTTTGTCTTACTAAGTAGGTTCTGTTTTTACCTCGCCGTAATTCTGATCCTTTATGATAAGAGCTTGTCTTTAATTCGGTTCTGTCGTCATCAAAAGGGTCTTTGTTTATTTTCCGGCCCATTTACCGGTAGCCGGAGCCAAGTATTTATCTTCTTTTCGGCAGATGTCATTCTTACCCTTAAGTAGTTTAAATCTAAATAGAACTGATGACCTCGTCCCCTTTATGGCGATTTAGATATGGAGAAGTACCATTGTTTAAGGGAGTGGTCCTTGTACCGTCTTGCATGTCTCATTTAGGCCTCAATTCCTTAGCTTTGATTGGTTGACTACTGAAGAATCATTTAGGAACGGATTTATCAAAAAAAGAAAAAGGAGACGTCTTTATTTGCCAATGCACATGAGTAAAGAAGGAACACGTGCGCACGTGGGGAGTCGATCCATTGGTTAATGGAGAACGCAGGGGACATGGTGGTTCCTAGCCTCGTTTATTTAGAGTTCTTTATTGACCTTGATCTCAATGTAAAATAGTGCATGGAAGACACGTTTGCATTTGATACCGGTTAATCAAGAGGGAGAGCACGACTTCCAATGGGTGTTAGGGAATTTGCCATAAAGATGGAAAGTTTCAGGCATTCCCAGCACTGCATTGAAATTTACTGTGTCGGAATACGTGCCCTTATAAGCTTTTGGATTTTATTTATACAATTGCATCTTCATTATTAGCCCTATTTGTTTCTTGGGACGCAGGAGGATGTTACTGTAGTTTAGAATCTCAGACGAGTTTTAATCCATAACCTCCAGGGCTCGGATAGACTTGTATCGAAGTGGCATAAGATGGTGATGCGGATAGTTCGTTCATTTCGTCTCATCTGAATGAGGCCCTAAAGACTTGTCAATTGTGGTAGGTACGAGCTCTTCGAATCGCAAAGTGTGGGAGGAGTTGCACACCATTTCTATACTTAATCAAAGACGTTCACCCACAAAAATTCTTTGTTTTTAAAAGTGAAACGACTACCTTTTCTTGATTTGCCTTTTGCAAATAACCCTTCTTATCCTCTGTGAAAATCCTTCCTAATTGAAGGAAATGACGTCATTCTGTTTTTCTATCTTCCACTGGAAGTTTTATTCATCTAGAGCTTTATCACTAGCGGATGAGGTTTCTTATTTTCGATTCGGTAACCAAAGTATCTCCATAGCCTAACTTCTGCTTGTTCGCCAGGCTTAAATTTTCCTCCAAACTTTTTTTATATTGACGAAATTAAAACGATGAACCTTGTTTGAAATTAATTACGGTTTTTTGACTTAAGGTTGTGATCCTATTTTGCACCTAGGATCCGATAAGTTTTCGCGCTTTGGCAGTGTCAATGCAGGTCTAAATCCATCAACACAAACATTTATTGAGGAAACGACTGAAATTTATGCTGAAGTACTTTTTTCTCCTATTTTCTGAAGACAAGACCTAAAATGCCTACGATCTTGATCTCTGTGAGTGCTTAGAGTTGAGAAATTTGGGCAGACAAATGCGCAATACATTAAGTACAGGCTGTTGCATTTAATCATGTCAAAACAAGATGCCAAGAATGCCCTACTGGTGTCAACAATTAATGGGAGCTTGGGTACTTTTTTCTAGTCTCTTTAGTCCTCTTGTTCACTTAGGCCATTTTCTGTGAGAAAGAAATTTGTTGTAAACAGTCACTTTGTTCCATTTTCTGCGTATTTTAAACAAATATCTGTTTTTCTGCCAAATAACTACACTTTTGCATGCATACTCTTAATGTTCGCAGCTACTTGCAACATGAAGAGACATTGGGTTCTGGGTTTATAGCGAATTTTATATTTGCTTATAAGTTTTATCCTTTTCTTTGATAATTATCTTGTGGTAGCTACACGGAACTCCAAGAAGTGGAAACTGTCAGAAGCTGCCTTTCCTGATATGGGTCTTCACAGTTTCGGCTTTTCATGGCAAATTACCTTCTTCTAGGACGTCCTGCCTTTGTAGTCAACCGGTGAATCAAGAAATTTGTTAACATGAGCTGGACCTGTCAATGCTGTCACCAGGGCTGTCCACGACCTATCTCTGAGGAAATTATAAGGGAGTGTGATTTGGCAGGTATCCTCGTGTCCCCGTCACAACTGTAGGGACGCAAGTCCTTTCCCACGTGTCAGCCGTCTTGCTGGTCCTCTTGTTCTTGAAGTGCCATTTATTTCGGGTCATAGACAGTAGCTGCATTAATTTACTCCAATGATAAATTTTAAAGGCACGGAATTTTAGATTTTTCAATTTCACTTAGCACAATACCTTCTTTCTTTTCCTTGTAGGGGAGAGTCGAGTGTCCAATGGGGATTTCAGTATTTTAAAATCTTCAGTTTACATCTGACTGTGCGAGTCTATTTGGTTACAAAAGTTTATTTATTTGTTTTGATAGAAGATATTAAAATTTGTACGTCGTTATTTTTTTTGTTTTTGATGAGCATGCTGGACATTTGGGTGATTTGATCCCTGAAGGCCTATTATTGCTGGAATAATGCCTCGCTTACCCTCGTTCCATTGATTCGCGACGTTGTTCTCGAGGTTGGCGTAACACAAATTCCTCAATACAAAGTGTTATTAAATGTAAAATATTTCAGATTCCTTACGTGATGAAGGGTTTCTCTTACTAATGAAAGTGAATGTGTTAAAAAAATTTCCAAAGTTAGTACAAATTTATGCCAAATTTTGCCTCACAACTACTTATCATATCTTCCAGCAAAGACAAATTGTATGTGAGAAGGGAACACTTATTTAATGGTAAGCTCAATAAAATAATCTTAAGAACGATAGTTGACCGAAGTATTTTTTTCCTTGTCTTAGAAGATGATGCAATGTAGCGCAACTGCATTAAGGCCGCGAATGCAAGGAAATGCGTACATAAAAGGTGTAGCACTGAGTAGAACAAGAAGTATGTTGGGAAGTATAGTCGGCTATGCTTTTTGAAGGCAATACCGACAAACAAATGGACGAAACAATGCTTCCGACAGTGGATGCAATGATTGCATCTAGAAGTTGCCGAAATAGCGGTATCACAGAAGTACGCCTCACAACTGTGCGGGTTGGTGTACTAGGGATTAACACTTTTCCACATCAGTCTTTCTAGGTTAAAAGGGACATGAGGGGCATAAAATACTATCTCTTTGATCCTTCTCCTTGTTCCCTATTTCAGATTTTGGTTTATAGATGCAAGAAAAGACAAAGCACCGGATGCAGAAGCAAAAAAGCGCACTTTTTTGTAGATTTGCACAAGAAAATTATGCTAGACTTGGTGGTGACATTTCTTTCCACTTAATGGAGAGGCTTTATTCAAAGAACGCAGTTTCTGACCTTTTTCCCCTCTACGATATTAAGGTGGTTTCTAGCATACCTTTTCCCAACAATGCTGAATTAATGGAAAATAAAGTGTAAAATACAGTCCCTTCAGTATCAATAATTGGTTGTGAATCCGTAAGGCAATTTGTCATATTCGCAGGTGAAAGATGGTAAGAGAAACTTAATGAAACAGACAAGGCAATTATTTTCATCCTCTCAGATATAACTACCTTAAAGATTTGATCAAAACTGAATTAGAGGCAAAATTTTCGTTAATTTTCTGACAACTTTCTGTCATCAACTTTAAGTAGAAATTTATCTAATCTCATTATCAATCTCAACTTCAATTGGATGTTTGAGCTCTATGGTGATATTGCTGTGAAATGTTTCTACTGAAACTGAGGATTGACTTCCACTTTTCTACAGGCATCATAAAACTCCTTAAAAAGACATTAAAAGTCCTTATTCGCTTAAAGAACGTCCTTGATTTAATATTTCGCCATAGGGTATGACTGTTTTGGCGAGATGGAGTTAAGTGAATTTTTGGTGTAGAACAGCAAGGGCGTGTCTTCATATGTTTTGTTCTTGGGGTAGAATGGAAACAGGGAATGATTCCTTCTTGCGACATAAGCTCACGCTAAAGCTCATATTGAAAAATTTACGAATGCCAGTGGCATGACGTGATTATGGACGTTATTTTTTCATTAAAACTGCGAATTTAACCCTTTCGTGAGATGTAAGGCCAATTAACAAGCAACCTTCAGCTGGCTTTCCTTGATTGGTCAACTTGCAATACACACATTTTGCAAAATTTATCTCCAAATTAAACACATACCTTAAGAACTTTTCAGCAAGACTATGTTTAAGTAAAATTAAAAAGAGTCTTTTTTCAACTCAAGGCTTATATAGACAATTATATTCATGGATTCGTGTAAGTTATAACGTTGGATGCCACACATGGATCATACGATGCAGACATCCTCATATAAATTTTGTAAATGGCTCCATGAGGAACGTTTAACCGTTATATTACAAACCATGGGAATGTAGTTTTGCCGGAAATGGATGTGGTCATAGTGTTAACACTATTGCGTCTCGGGTACGTAGATTGTTTAAGCTTGGTTTGAAGTAAAATAACCCGAGAGTGTCCTTCATCTGTAGTGGGATGAAATTTCGCTACTATTGATGCAGTACTTGAGTTCTCAATCAGGACGCTTCAAGATTTGCAAGCTCGGATAGAATTTGTAATAAACGTCTAGAGGAGTAACAGATTGTTAAAATGGATGCCATTAACCTAACCCCGTGACATCAAGATGGTAATCAAACTGTTATAATTCATTACTCCTTTAGCGCAACATGTAAGGGGAACTTTACTAAGTTCTGGCGCACATCAAAGACGCAAATGATAAATCACCGTCATTCA